TATAATACATATTCATATATGAAAGGAACGTTGTGTCAGTTACCAGCCTAGCCATTAGGAAAAGGCAGGTTATACTTCTTCCTTCTTAGAAGCCAATCACCAAATACAAAGTTCTACTCTCCCGAAACTGCAGTAGTGAGAGGTGGCACAAACTTGACATACAGGAGGGCCATAACAGAGACAGATGCCCCATCAGCACCAGCACGTTCTAGTCATCACTATATGAGTGAAGAGGCCATCCTGGATGTGCCAGCCACCACAGACAGTAAGTAAAGCAGAAGAACCATTTAAACAAGAAGAATGGCCAGAATCCAGAGCTGTGAGAAACAGTAGATCACTGTCTTACATTAGGCTTTGAGGTGATCTGTTACTCAACAATAGATAAATAGATAAATGAAACAAGTTGATAAGATGAGGATCATCTCCAAATTACAGTACTGAGGAAAAACACTATTTTTATGACAAAGTATTTCAAATACGACCTACAGTATAAAAATTTAGGATAGAGCACTGAGGAGATATATTTTATGTTACAATCTTAGTTCCACAATCATCTTTCTACCCAGAGTCCTGAAAGAGGACAAGAAAGATGAGACAAATGTTAGCTAGATCCTGAGTGTACACTGCAGTGCTTCCCCTTTCCCCTCTTTTTCCTTAGAGTAGGAAAAATTTTAGTGAAAGAAAGATAGCTTCTGTCTAAGAGACAAAAGGGACCAGAAAATGGGTTGCCCCTGCTTTCTCCTTCAGAAAAACATTCCACTGATCATTTGAGGGCTCAAGATAATATTTCTCCATCCACTCATCCAAACTTTTACTGGCTATCTTCTACTAAACACTGAACTAGTAGCTAAAGATACAATATTTAATAAAATGCAGTTGATGTTCTTAATAAGCATATATTCTCATAAAAGATGATGGAGAAATCAATTATTCAAGTATGTTAAGTACTACAGAAGGGTACAGAGAAAAGAACAGAGCCACAAATGATACCAGAGAAGAATAGGGGAGTCTAAATCCAAAAGAAAGGCAATGAAGGCATCAGAAAAGGTGCTCTGAAGGAAAGAGGCTCAAGCTCAATTGTAAAGAACTAGTATAAATTGTATTTAGAACAAAAGAAAAATCTGGAGACAAGACTGCCCTTAGGAAATTAAAATATCAAAATCAAGATATAATAAATGATTAACTGTAAAATAAAGTCATAGAACAACAATATAGCCTATGTCAAAAATTGCTTAGACATCTGGGCATAGTAGTACACACCAGTAACCCCAGCTACTAAGGAGGCTTAGGCTGGAGGATTGAAAGTTTGAGGTCAGCCTATGCAACTTACTGAGATCCTGTCTCAAAATTACAAATAGACCGACAGACTAAGAGACTGACAGACCAGCTGACTGAATTAGAGATGGAGTTCATCATTTCCTGGGTTCAAATTCCCAAACAGGGGTTGGGGTGGGAGATGGAATTCCAACTGTTCTTGATTTTAACAACACTAATACCCAACCAGTCAACTGGAGACAACAATAGGCCAACAGAAAGAACAGGGTTTATATGGCTAGAGTAATTTCTCTAACACTACTTAGCAGGAATGGCTAGAACCTATCAGGCTACAGCCTCTGGAAGACTGCAGGACTCGGCACCAATGTGGTGGTTGCTGCTGGCACCACCAGATTCCCATTCATTGCCCTTGCTCTGAGTACAGCCCCACTAGTTGTTTGTAATATGCTTCCTATTTGGTATTTCCTATTGGGAGAAGATGTACAGCCAGTGAAGGTATTGTGATAGTTTTCATTCTAGTTCTCAAAGCACATCAATAAGAAGGTATTTTGGCTTGTTCTTTTGTAGAATGAGAAACTACAGGTAAGTTCTCCTGGATCTGATCAGCTCTGGGCATACCGACCAAATCCATCTGGTGGACTTACAAAGCTGAGATCAGATGCTGTATGTTTGTGACCTTAAAGTCATGCCCCTGAGACCCATTCAAATAGCTGACTCCATTATCCAAAGGCTCCCTGGCAGGCACATGCCCTCCTTTCCTCTACCAGATCACAAAATCCTTTGAGGACAGGAGACATATCTATTTGTGCTAAGTACTTGATAAATATTTCAAGAATGAATGAATAAAACAGTCAATGGAGACAGAAATAGAAACCGGTCAAAATCCATTCATTACTTGCATATTAAGTTTTTTTCTTACAATTATAAAAAGTTCTTTGGCCCTATAGAAATTGATAAGAGATTACAGCATAAGTGAATGTTCTATTTTAAGTTCCCCATAGGTTTTATGCATTAAAAGTCACATTCAGATAATACTGTATATGTAAAATCAATACATATTAAATTTCTATGTTTTTATTTATCCAGCTTATCACAGAGTCCAAATCAACATGAGGAGATTTATACTCAGG